ACGGGACACTTGAGATAAGCATTTATTGCTCATCCACCCAGAGCATGCTATGCAGTCAAGGGCCAGCTATCTCCATGAATGTTGGAAATTTTTGATTTAAGGAACTTCACCGGGAGCCTGGGCAAGTACAGCTTCTGCCATCCAGATAGATCTGCTGTCACATGTGACTGACAAGATATTTATGCTGATGGGTCAACAGACAGATTCATTAATTTTCTTCTCCCTTGTTCTATTATCTAAGCCCTTGTGCCATCCGCAGCAACTGGAGTGAATGTTCATTTCTATTCCATTGTCATACTAACTACTGCTCTAGTTTAAGTATTCTTTTGAACCCCAAGAACAATGTGCACAAGGCGCAAATCCATCCCGCTCCTCCATGGCTAAGTAGGGCCATTAGACAGGAGAAACAATGGGAACACAGCGGGTGCTCTGTGTTCGCTCCCTGCATGGCCGCACACAAAGACAAAAAGGAGGAGCACTGGATGGGCCAGGGATGGGTGTCGGATACCCCGACGCACTCGTTTACCCAGCATCCCCAGATCACAAAGGAAAAGAGGGTCTGCATGGGCCTGCAGAGCCTGCATCAGTCGCTGGGCACAGGACCACATTGTTTGGTTTATTTTGTTTCCCCGAACAATATGTCACATATTTACTTTTCTCTCGGAGGGCCGATGCTAGCACAAAATCATCACCACGTTATGTCAAAATGTCAGCATGCTGCATCGCCACAGCTCCACATGAGGCTGCCTGGCGGGCCCCCGCGAGGTCTCCTGCATCCAATCATTTCCCACAAGCAGCGTTTGCAGGACAGCAGATCTTCTTAAAATAGGACAAACCCAGAAATCCTGGAGCCGGGGGCAGCCCTCACTCATGTCTCTGTCTTGAGTGACTCCATCTGGACAATCCAGGATCACTTTTGATGGCCTGCAAAAGCAGCTGCTGCTGGTTAACAATTTTTTTTTTTTTTTTTTTTTACTAGAAGAAAAGTGCTACGGGTAAAAAGTCAGGATGGTCTTTTTCTTGTTATTCATTAGGAAGTTTTACCTCCAGCACAGGGATTTTAAAAGGAATTTCCTTACCTAGGTGTCCAGCTGTATTTAAATACCTTTCACTGTTACTGCTCAGAGGAGCTGCAGCTGCTCAGACCAGCTTCCCCTGGTGTGCACGCAGGTGCAATGCTGTGAGCCCCACAGCCCTCATCCTGTTGCTGTGCCAGCACCGGCCTCTGGAGAGGACCCTAAATCCTGTCCTGCACTTTCCACAGCTCCCAGCTCTTGCCAGGCTACCAAGGGAGCAGCGAAAGTGGTTACAGCAGCCACTTACCAGCCTCCTTCAAGAGATCCCAGTGCTGTGTACCATAGCCCCAGACATATTCTAAGCAGCCAAGGGCTACCCAACCATCTGCTGGAAGACAGACCTATGAGGCAGGAATTCCCAATGCTGGGCCCATGGGAGGTTTACCAAGCAGCCCACAAAGGGGGGTTTTCCCTTAACCAAAACCTGTGCTTTGTTATGCTGCTCCAGGCAGGGCCCAGCCATGACTGCTGACCCACATGTGTCCTTTGTGCAAACAAACACCAGGTCCTAGCAAGGCACTGCCAGCCTCCCAATCCCACCTACAGCTCTGAGGTTCAAAACCTAACAAAGATTGAAGTTTCTCCCTGGTGCTTCTCTCAGTTCCAGCCAGAGCTCCCAGGAGCATTTTTTATGAGAAGTTGTCCCAATGTTGCTCATCCATCTCAGGTGAGAGTGCCGAGGGACCGCAGGCCTCCAAGCAAGTTTCTATAGGAAATCAGGCTTTTACTGACAGCTGCACTGAGGGTGGTGCCTACAGCTTGCACTGAGTTACTCATCAAACAGAACCACATAAGTGAAATACGCTCATATCACAGAATTGTAGAATGATAGAGCCACTAACGTTGGAAAAGACAACGAAATCCAAATCCACTAAGTGGACCAAGTCCAACCATCAGACCAGCCCCGCCAGACCCCCTAACCACATCCCTCAGTGCCACATCGAGAAGTGTTTGTATTATGTGTTTTGTTTTTTGCATTCATTCATTCTAAAGCAATACAGCTGCCTTCCAAAGGCACTCCTAGCACACCTACAGGAAGCGCACAAAGCCCCAGCAGCACCAAAACTGCATCCCCGAGAGCCACTTGCCCAGCCGGGTTCCTCTGCGATAACACAGCGCTAAATAAAACGGGATCGGTGCCACCGGCCACAAGCAAGCAAAAGAGCGAGTGACCAAGGGGAGCTTTGCAGCGCGGTGCCGGCCGCAGCCCCGTGCCTGGGCAGCGGATCCCCGCGAGGGGCTGGGGCGAGGTTTGGAGCTGCTGTGGCATCTGGCACGAAAAAATGTCCCGGGAAGCTGTTACATTAAATGGCCAAATCGATTTATTGAATGGCAGGTGTTAGCTACAAACAGATGGAGAACATAAAGGCATAAGCAGGCATTTGTATGGAAAAGAAGCCATCGATTTGTAGCGAGAGGCTCAATAGTGATCGTTATACCCTTTAATAGAAATGTTCTTATTTTTATGGGCTCAGCTCCGAGCAACAATGGCTCAATGGGCACACGCCGCCGCGCCGCCCGAGCTCTGAGCTCTGCTCCTGGGGGGGCGGTCGGGCCGGGCGGGGTGGGGCCAGGCCGGGCGGCGCGGAGCGGCGCGGAGCGGTGCGTAGCCGCGCTGTCCCAGTTGGCACGCGGCGTGCCCGGCCGGCCCGTGGCAGCGCCCGCGCGGCAGATGAGGCACGCGCCGGCCTCATTACAATGAGAATGGACAGGCTGGAGGAGCCATGTGGCAGCAACAGTTTGCAAATCCCCCCTCCTTCTGTGCGAATCGGGAAACATTTCCAAACATTTGTACCCCAAATCGACCACATTAACACCCCTCGGAGCAGCTCTCCCTGGAGAGTTGCTCCGCGCTACGGCCATTTAGGCAGAAACAAAACAAGCAAGAGGGATTTTTCTTTCCTTTTCCCTCCCTCTTTTTTTTTTTCTTTAGGCTCTCTCGGTGTGTATCAGCGCCGAGTCGATGCGCAACTTTCGAGCTAAGGGGTTTAAAAGCCACCGGGGGATGCGGCTCACGCAGCGCACGGAAGGGATGGCGCTGAACATACGGGCAGGTTTCTAAGCGAGGCGGCCCCGAAACGCAGCCCGAAGGCAGCACCGGGACCCGCGGCCCGCAGGGAGGTGCTCTGCGGTGTCCCCCCGCTGTGCCCCACATCGGGCGCAGGCAACTGGGGAGCGCCGCGCTCCCGCTCTCCGCCTTTCGGACACAGCCGCCCGATGCTATCAGCGCAACTTCTTTTTTTTTTTTTCCTTCTGAAGTCCGTGTGCGTGTGTCAACATGCAGCAGGTGGTTTGTTATATTCCCCGCGTATTACTTTATGAGGGGCTCTTTTTACAGCCTCAATCACAACAACGCCCCGGAGTCTCATTTTACGCCCCTATCGCAACCGCTCGCTCCGGCTCCGGGAAACGTTTGCCCGGCGGAGCCGCTCGGTGCCGGGATCGGGGAGGGGGGCGATGTGCGCGGCGCGGGACCGCGGGGAGTTCTGCGGAGCTGCGAGGAGCGGAGCCCCGCTCGCCTCTCCGTAACCTACATTAGCTGCGGGTCCATATGGTAGATGCTGCCTGTGGATCCCCAGCGCCGAAGCGAGGCCCTATTCTTGCGCGCCGCCCTGCTTGTGCCAGATGGTGCCTGGGCCGAGTGGCCATGCGTGGGGTGGCTCTGGTTAGCCTAATAAACGTCCAATACAAGTCAAAAATCAAAACACACACATACTAACATCTGCTAGAGCCCGCAGTACCCAGCTAGCCTTTCAATGCTGAATTAAAGAGCCCCACAGCCCTTCTGTTCCCCTAGGTTAGACACTCATTACCATTTATCAAGCACTGATGTTATCTGGCCTCTCATTTTATTTAGTACCGAAGCTATTAGCATCAGATTTGATTTTGACAGTTGACGCTGCTGCTGGTAAAGCCGGGATCTGGCCGGGCGGATCGCTGCAAAATTCCGAGCTCGTCGGCGGCACATTCCTCCTCCCGACCCGGTTACGGGTCCAGACAAAGGGTTCCCGGCGCGTGCCTCATGCCCCCGCGGGCACCCCCGCACCCCGCGCCTTTATTCCTCCAGGGCCCCCATCCCGATCCGGGAACGCTTCCAGGGAGTGGCCGGGCCGAGGGTTCAGAGCGGTGCCGAGCCAGCCGGACCCTGGGACTTCCTCCTTATCGCGCTCCCCCAAAGGGCCCGATCCGTGGAATCGCCGCTGCACCAGGAGCGCCTTTGGGAGAGCTGCGGAGCCCGAGGGCTGCTCCCCAGGTGATCCACGCCGGAAAGGTTCGCAGCCGGGCGAGCCCGACGCTGGCACAAAGGTGGCAAGGCCTCATTACCATACAGCTGAGGGTTTATCTCTCCCTCCCCCCTCCGGCCTCCCATCCATTTAACAAGCTGAAATAAAAAGCCACATGAAAGGCCTTCTCTGTGCTCGGCTTTAATGAGGGACACGCGACCCAACAATAAGCGCACGCCACAATCAGGCCAAGGCTTTACTGGCGCACGCTGGAGCGCGGGCCGGCAGCGGCACAACGCCGCCAGCGGTCCGGCCCCGGCCCTCTCCCCGAGCCCCCCCCGCCCCAGGGCCGTCAGGGAGCGGCGCCCCGGGCGCCTCGGCCCGGCCGTTGCCTTCTGCCCGAGGAGCAGCCCCGGGGCGCGCGGGAGGGACGGGGCGAGTTTGGGGAACACGTCGAACCCCGCCACTCGGAGCTCCCGTCGTCGGGGGGGTAGAGAGCCAAGCGGCCGGGGGTTTGTCCGGCCCCGCACGGAGCGCCGGCAGCGGGATTAGAGTGTGGGACCCGAGGGCTTCCGCAGCACCGGGCTCCGTTTTTCCAGAAAGGAAAGATGGAAAAGGGGAGGGATCGCCCGCGCGCTGACTGACAGTTTACATAATGAGCTCGCGAGGATGCGAGGCAACTATATAAACCGCTCGGAGGAAAGCAAGTTTCCCATTTACCGAGCGCTGCCGGCACCCGCCGAAGGAGGAGCCGTCCCGACGAGGCGTCCCCGTTCCCAGCCCGCGGGCTCTGGAGTTTATAAAGCGCAGGATTAGCGCCCTGAGGGCACGGCCACACCTGGATTTACCTTCCGGCCCGCGGGCAGCGCCGCTCTCCGCGCTCGGCGGACCTTTTGGGGAATACAGAACGAGCGGCGCGAGGATGAGAGCGCGGCGCGCCTGCGGCCTGACGCTGCTGTTAGTGCTTTTGCAGCAGGTAACGGTTGGAGCGACGGCGAGAGGGGCTGGCGAGGTGTCAGTGGGTGCTGGCCGAGGTGTGACGGGGCTGTGTTGTGTTCCTTTGTGCAGAGCGCGTCCGGCTCCGGCGTCTTCCAGCTGAAGCTGCACGAGTTCGTCAACAGCCGCGGGGCGCTGGCCAGCGGAGAGCCCTGCGCCCCGCACTGCCGCACCTTCTTCCGTGTCTGCCTCAAGCACTTCCAGGCGGTGGTGTCGCCGGGCTCCTGCACCTTCGGCAGCATCATCACCCCGGTGCTGGGGGTCAACTCCTTTAGCATCCGCGACACGGAGCGGTTCGACAGCCCCATCAAGCTACCCTTTAACTTCACGTGGCCGGTGAGCAGCGCGGGGCGGCGGGCGCGCTCCTCGGCCGAGCGGCGCGGGGCGGTGCGGTGCGGTGCGGGCGGGGTGCGGGCGCGCCGCGCTGTGCTGTGCTGACGCTGCTCTTGCTCTCTGCCCGCAGGGGACCTTCTCGCTCATCATCCAGGCCTGGCACGCGCCCGCCAATTACCTGCCGCAAGGTGAGCGCCGCGCCCCCGCCCCGAAACGGTTAACGGCAGCCCGGCCCCGCCGCCCCCGGCTCAGATGTTTATGCGATAATTTCGGGGCCGGCTTTATCCGACCATCGGCAGTTAGTCCCCAAACGATGCCCGTCAGGGGCCGCTTTGATTCTGTCCCGACCTAATCTCCAACACAATTGCGTTTCCTGCGGTTTATTTTTGGCGTGGGAAAGAAAGGAGCTCAGCGGTGAGAAAGCCGCGAGGCTGCCAAAGAACCCCGGCCGCCTTTTCCTGTATTTTACACCTTTCTCGAATTCCGCCCTTTGGAAAGGAATAATGGCTTTGGGATGTTTTTCTGACAAGAGAGGAAAAGGATATTCCAGCAGCACTTTCGAAAGCCCTCGACGCGGAGCCCCCTCGGCCCGGGCTCTCGGCTACGGGTCCTCTCTCACACCGACCCCACTCCCTCTATCCTTCAGGGCAGCAGCACGCTGACCCCGCTCCATTCCCACCGACGCGCTCCGTCTCTCCTCGCTGGGGCCGGGGCAGCGCCGTGCCCTGTAGCACACACGTGGGTTCCCAGGGTGGGTGGTGGACGTGGCGGTGGTGTTGGCCGCAGCTTGATGCGCTACTTGCTGTCCCGCAGGCTCGCGGCCGCCGCCGGAGGAGTGGCTCATCAGCCAGATGGCCATCCAGCGGTCGCTGGCGGTGGGTGAGGTCTGGTCTCAGGATGTGCAGAGCAGCCTGCTGACCCAGCTGCGCTACTCCTACCGCGTGGTCTGCAGCGAGAACTACTACGGAGAGAGCTGCTCCCGCCTCTGCAAGCGCCGCGACGACCGCTTTGGGCACTATGTCTGCGAGGTGGATGGCAGCCTGACCTGCCTGCCTGGCTGGACCGGCGAGTACTGCACCAAGCGTAAGTGCTGCTCCGTGCCCTACCGGTGGTGGCTGCCACGCCAGCTCTCCAGGCCCCGCAGCCCATCTGCATAGCAGGGCCTCAGCCACCTCGCTTCAGTGAGTGCTAGAGGGATCACCTTGGTGGGCTGTGCTGCCCCTTGTCCTGTGCACTGGGCAGGCCTGTCCCGCTGGTGTCTTGCACACCTGCTGCAGCTTCCTTAGACCTTCACCTAGGCTAACCCGAGCCATAGCCTGAGACAAGAATGCAAGTCAAGAGACCTTTGAGGAGGGGCAAACTGAGGGAGATGTTTAGTGAAGGTACCCTGGGCCTAAAGTGCATTGTCTTCCTGCAGCAAGTGCATCAGGAGGCCCCATGCTGGATGCAGCATGTTTGCTTGTGCCCGCTAAGCGCAGTGCACCTGGTGGAGGCTCGGGCTGTGCTTTCACGCTGACCTTTCCACTCTGTGCCAGGAGATGAAAAGTGGCATGCTGAGGACTTTGCACTGCTGTTGCTGCAGCTGCCAATGTCATGCTGCACTTCTACACGTATGAAGAAACAGCAGAGAAGAGCTGATATCCCTGAGTCAGTCATACCTATCCCAAGTTACTCTGCCAGCAGCTTGTCTGCAGAGGCTTCCCCACTTCTGCTGCCAGTGGTGGGGCAGGTGTCGCACTGTATAGCGGGAATCTTTGCTGTGGGCTCAGGGCCCCGCTGGGTTTCTGCAGTCTTTTGTTAGAGTAAGCGTGGCTGCCGCCTCTTGCTGCTTTTTGAGAGAGCTGCAAGAGTTCGTGTTTGTTGTGTAAACTGAAGAAAACTAAGGGACAGCTTGTCGGATGTTGGCTCTCCCTGTTCACTTCCTCCTGCTCCAGAACTCCCCGTACTGAGAGATTTTAAAACAAAGCTTTGAAAGTGCAAAACTGGTTTTCAAAGTATTTTTTAAAAGCTGGCGTTCCCCCTTTTACAAGTGTATTCTGTTGTCCACACGTATTTACCTAAACATTTCTGCTCTTTTTTCCTGTCTTCCTTACAGCCATCTGTCTGTCTGGATGTGCCGAACAGAATGGATATTGCACCAAGCCTGGAGAGTGCATGTGAGTAGATGGCAATTGCAATCTGAATTTCAATTAAAATGTCAACTTGTAATAGAAACTTAAACTCTTTTCCATGTCATTAATGCTTTAATTTGACTCTTCTTGTAGCTGTCGTTCTGGTTGGCAAGGCCGCTACTGCGATGAATGCATTCCCCACATAGGCTGCCGCCATGGGACTTGTAAAACACAATGGCAGTGCATATGTGACGAAGGATGGGGTGGCCTCTTCTGTGATCAAGGTTGGTTCTGAGGGTTGTGCTTAGGGCTCTGGGTTGGATATTCCTCGGTCTGGAATTAAGGAATCTGATCCAGAATTAAATTTGTGTATGGTGTGTATACAGAGGTGTTATTTTGTACCACGGCTGTCTCAGATACCAATTCTTTATTTGTACTAGTTTTGGCTGAAAACAACCAAGCCTTTTTGGTAGCTTTTGTTTTTAAGAGAAAAACACCACCTGGGTGAGTGGTGAGTGGGCAAGTTTTCTGCTTTCTCAAGCTAAGTTTAATGTATTCCCTGTACAACGATAACAATTTACTAAACAGTTTCCAGCAGCAGTAAACACCATAATTTGGCCTTCCTTATTTTGCATACAAGGAAGTTAACTCATGTGATAAGTCTGGAGCATGAGAGAAAAATCATGTAAGCAAGAATGAAAAGTACAGGTTCCATTTTAAGGTACACCAGACCACTTCCACCTATTCAACCCAGTGAATCACTGAACTGTAGCCAGCTGAGCAGTCATGTCCTCAAGGCCATATATGCACTGCTGGCACTGAGATCATTAAATACTCAGAGCAAGTCAAGTGTTTGCAAGACATTTACAGGATTAAGATAGGGAAGCCTGAATTAAGCAGGAAAAGTAAAGGTGCAAATTTTTTTTGTTGTTGGTAGTTACCTATTAACCAATTGTGTTTCCATTACTCTGACATTTATAGTGCTTATAAAGATTCTCTACTTATGTGATATGGACTTGTGTGCTTAACCTCTGCCTCAAATTGAAAGGGAAAATAAAAACAACCATCTAGGTTTGGCAGAGTATTTAGATAGTTTAAACTAATAACATTCATAACAACAGAACACAATAAATAAACAATAAAATATTTCCAATGTTTGTTTAAATCTCCAAGCCTAAATACTTCTGTTTCCTTCCTGCCTTCCCAGAATGTGCCTTGGAGCACACCTTTTAATGACAGGGCTAGCTCTTCTATCATGTGACATATTGTGCACAGAGTGTCTGTCGTGCCTCAGAGTGTCTTTCTGAGAAAATATCTGGAGTACATTGTTCACTTTGGCATCATTACAGCTGATGGGATTGCACCCCCAAAGCCCTGAGAAAGAGAAGTTTCTCAAAATTCAGAGCTCGATTAGTAGACGTGTAAAATTCATAAGTCTCAGACATGATTAGAACTGATAATAACCTGATAAGAATCTCCAGTGTTGGTAGCAAAATTGAAGGCTTCATTTAAAACTCTTTGTTGATCAAGGTGTTTTTGTATGAATGTTTTTTTTGCCAGCTGTCAAACACTCTTTCTTCTAACACCTGGTATCTTTGCAGATCTGAACTACTGCACCCACCACAGACCATGCAAAAATGGAGCAACTTGCATGAACACTGGCCAGGGCAGCTATACGTGTTCATGCAAACCTGGCTTTACTGGTGTTGACTGCGAACATGAGATCAGCGAGTGTGACAGCAATCCCTGTAGGAATGGCGGTAGTTGCACAGTAAGGGCATTTTAAATGTAAAGTCTTTGTGTGAAGCAAGCTCCAGTATACCTTTTCAGAAATGGTTTTGTAACAACATAATGGGAATTCGATAGTACACAGGTTCATTACTGACTCTCACAACTACCATTCTGAACCCTTCCCTGGATGTGTCAGGGGAGGAAGTCTGTTACAGGAGGAGATGTATCATCTAGATTAGAACTAGTCAACTGATCCTTAGGTTTCTGTGGCAGCCATTATGAGATCTTGGCAAGATCCAAGGCTCATGAGGGAGCGTATCTGTAAAATAAAAAAAAAAATAAGCTTCCCAAACCAAGGTTCACAAATAAATGTGCGGTCTATATTTTAGTAGCAAGTAAAAGAAAATGTCTTTCAGCTATGGAACTGCAGCATCAGTTGATACAAGGGCAATCAGATGAAACACTTTTTGTGAAATGAAGTTCTGTATTTTCAGTTTTCTCATGTTTCAGTGTATTTTCAGACCCAGTCAATGACTGATCCAACATGCTGATAGAGACTGATAGCTTATAGATACCAGATGTAATCTGATGCATGTTTTGGTTAAAGCTAATGCTCCAAGACCACCTATTTCCCTTCTCTCAAGGCCTTGGATATATATTGCTTATAAAGAAGAGACAAGTTTTGTTGTAACCTAAGTGGTGGGACTTCTCCATGGCAAAGCAAAATAACCCCTTTGGGGGAAAAAAAAAAAAAAAGGGGGGAGGGGGGAGGGGAGGAGGAAGAGGGCAGGAGCTCTTATGCTAACCTACACAGCTGCAATCAGGATATCTATGGTTTCCATATGTTATTCTGCTCTAGGACACTGGGGATCCCATCAGACAGTAGTGGCATTAGTCTTGTTTTTGCCCAGTTGCCTCTAGGCTCCTACAACTGTATCTGCTCTGCTTGTGCTGTTGCACGATTACTCCTAAGTGCCAAATACAGCCAGTTCACAGTCCTGCCCCCCACAGTCCAGCTTGCAGTTATTTACTCTGCAAATGCCATTTTTGCCACATCCGAGTGTGAATGAAGTGGGACAGAACAGCACTCGCTGCTGACCAAAAAAGAAACACAGGCACAACTATCATTTGGTGGCATCAAATAACAATGGCCTAATGTTGTGTTTTGCAGGATTTGGAGAATGGTTATCGCTGCGCCTGCCCCCCTGGCTACTATGGAGCTCACTGTGAGCACAGTGCTTTGACGTGTATCGATTCTCCGTGCTTCAATGGAGGCACATGCTTGGAAAAAGAACAAGGAGCCAGCTACACTTGTGTTTGCCCTTTTGGTTTCACGGGGTCAAACTGTGAAAAAAAAGTAGACAGGTGCACAAGCAACCCATGTGCAAATGGTGAGTCTTTCTTATAAAAAAATAAATCTCATGGCTTCTCCACTTGTTTGTGCTTTTCAGTGCAGAAGTGATAGAAATCCAATCTGACCTCTACACTTCCTCTAATACATTAATCCCTCTCCCTCACTGTATTTCACATCTATCCTAATTTTGGTCTCTTGCGGAGGACTTTCACTGGCATTTTCTATGTAAAAAAAAAAAAAAAAAAAAACCCAGTGCATAAGCTTTATTATGGAATGGGAAAGCATTACGTACATTAAACCAGCGTTATTATATATTTAGAAGTGGCATGGTTTTAAAGGGTGATCAGTAAGCTAGAAGGAAGCCTTAGATAGTTAGTTGTTTTGTAAAATAATCTCCCTCTTCTTGAGGTAGTTTTGCTTACAGGGTGGGAGAGCTTTATGTTTCTGAGCGAAACACATTGCATACTGATTTCTTTCTTACTTTTTCCTCAGATGGTAATTGCTTTTACCTTGGTCAGATTCGTGTGTGTCGTTGTCGGGCTGGCTTCTCTGGTCAGAAATGTGAGATTAACATCAATGACTGTGCCAGGAACCCGTGTTCCAATGGGGGAACTTGTCATGACCTGATCAATGACTACACGTGCACGTGCTTGCCAGGCTATAGCGGCAGGAACTGTGACATCAAGACCAGAGATGAATGTGCTTCTGGGCCATGTGAGAACGGAGGCACATGCTACAGTGGACTTTATAGTGCCAACTTTGTCTGCTACTGTCCTTCTGGCTTCATGGGCAGCCGTTGTGAACTACCAGTTTATTCAGTGCCCATCACACTTCCTCCTAAACCAGTCCCCTGGATTGCTATATCTATGGGAGTGGGGCTTGTGGCTTTGCTCATACTGTTCTGCATGATAGCAATGGTCATCAGGCAGATGAGGATGCACCCACAGCAGGACTTGGAGACGATGAATAACCTGTCTGACTTCCAGAAGGACAATCTCATTCCAGCTTCCCAGCTCAAAAACACCAATAAAAATAAAGACCTTGAAGTGGACTGTGGGCTCGAGAAGTCAAACTACAAACCCAAGAATCATAAACTGGACTACAATCTAGTAAAAGATCTGACGAGTAGAGGGACACAGGAAGATAAATATTACAAAAGTGAAAAGTGTTTAGGAGAGAAGTCTCCACTCCGACTACACAGGTGAGAATTTAGCCTTCCTTGTAGCCTCTGTAAGCCCCACACCTTCACACTGGCCTAGATGCAGATGAGAAAATGGGAAAAAATTTAACTCAGGGAGAGAACAAACAAAACAAACCAGAGCAAAGGCAGGAATTCTGAACTGAAGTATGAGTGCCACAGCCAAGTAGTATCCATAGCTAAATTAATTGAAAGCTTGTGCGCAGTATGCTGGTAACATGAATGCTGTGAAGGGGAACAGGAGTGACCAGTCCAGTGATGAAAGTAAGAAGTATGTTTCCTTCCTCAGTAAATCACAGAGAAGTGATACTACAGCAAATAGTGAATTAAAAATAAGTATTTTGCTTATTTAGAAAACACTGAAAAAAAGATTAGAGTGAAAATTACTTCTCCCTTCAAAAAAAAGGGCAGCTATTTGTTGGCTCCTCTATATTCTGATATGCATACTGAAAGTTTTGCCTGAGTTCTGCTTGTGGCTGCTCTGCACTGAGGGATCTGAGGAGTACTTGACTAAATTGGACGTGGCAGAAATCTAGCAAGACAGTAGTCATTTCTCACTTCCCCTTCCCTAAAGTAAAATGTCTTGCCATCATATAGAACATGTGAAACTTCATCCTTTGCCCTCCTCTCCCTCACCTCCACAGCTATCTTGTTCCATGCCTACATATTCATGGTAGCATTTCAGAGTCAGGCGTGTGTTAGAAGTCAAATAACACCTTTTTCTCTCTGCCTTGCTTTAGTGAAAAGCCGGAATGTAGAATATCAGCAATATGTTCTCCAAGGGATTCAATGTACCAGTCCGTCTTTGTGATAACAGAAGAAAGGAATGAGTGCATCATAGCCACAGAGGTAAGCAAGCACACCAATGAACAAACATAAATTCACAAAATAAAAGAGGCAAATCTATCCTTTAGAGCTGCAGCTGAGAATGATGCTCTGTTTTCAGGGATCTCAGCATACACCTCATCTCTTCAATGGCATGCAGGAGTGCCCAAGAAAACAGAACATATGTGGGGAGAAATAAAGAAATGAACAGCTCTGATTTTATTAAACCAGAGATTCTGTGTTTAGATAAGTCGGTGGGAGATGAAAGCACTGAATGTCAGCCTGTAAAGATTCAATGTATCACAGGATTATTTCCTCTTAATCAGAAGGAAAAAAAAAATAAAAATAGTTCATGGCCCCATTGATGTAAAGCTGTGCATTTTCTTTTTTTCACCCCCATTACTACAATAGATAATCTGTGTTCAGTGACAACAAGCAAAGCTTTAGCTTTCCAGCAGAAGATGAAAAGTAACTGAATATGTTAGTGGATAGGCAGAACAGCTATTTAGTAAGTCTGTAGTAAGACATGGAAGGAAATTTCAACTTCTTGGCATTTAGCTACATATTCGTGGCTGTAACAGAATTTAATGCTGTTTAAGTTATCCAGATGTTGACATTATTTTGAAAAGGTAGAGAACAGTACAAAAGGAGGAAGTGAAGATCCAGCTGGTTCCAAAAGGACTGTTGACACTTTAGAGAAAGGCCCAAAGAGAAGTTAAAAGCAATTTATCACAAACCAATACCTTTCAGCGTAGTCACCATTAGTGCTCGTTTCAGTTAGAGACTCCAAGAAGCTTGCTGTGCCATATAGCAACGACCTGTGAAGTCAGATGAGCAGGATTCTGTCTCCCTTGCCAGGGTGGATATCAGATTTCTGCTTGAAGGCAAGCTGGAATATTAGTCAACCAACAATATTAGAAGTTTAAGACTAACAGAAAGGATTTTCAAAGATATAAATGATAGTTAGATGCTTCATTCCTGGTAGTAGACCCAAATACCATATCTTCCTTTTGAAGACCTTGCTGGCAAAAGCTGATTTTTACATTGGTTTCCCCCAGAAGTATTTTTAATATCAGAATGGCAGACCCTGAAACTTTTCTGCAAAGCACATAAGCTATCTAGCCATACCATATGCTATTTACAGAGACGTTATGTTAAACACCCAGATTTGTACGATTTATTCTAGGCTTTCCTTCCCTCACTTCAGGTAGGGAAGGCTACTTATCATACAGATGAGTTGTTTGACTATTCTCTCAGGAGGCAGGCAAAAGTAGTGAATACTGATAGCTAAACTGCAGTAATGTCTGGCTTATGTTACTTTGGTTTGACGTAACTATAGTTTGTTAGTTCTGCTGTATTCTGTGCTTCCTTCTCATTCCTCAAATTTTTCTATCCCCTGACAGGTATAAGACTGAAGATCAGCCTGTTTGCACCTCAGATTTGGTAATGCCAGTAGATGGACGTTCCTGCTGCATTGTTTACAATTCAGAACTGGATTGGACTGTTTGTAATTACATGCAACTTGCTGCTCTCAGGTGGAGGATGGAACTGGACAGACTGTGAATTTACTGAAAGATGCAATAGACTTATTCATTCTTACTGCTCTTGTTTGACATTTGATGCCACAAATCTCACTGGCTATACATGAAGGGAGGCAGAGGGAAGAGAGAGGGGTTAAACATGTTAACTTTTGATTTGCTTTTGAAAGATACTGAGGCCAATTCCTCATGGACAGACCCGTGGCTTTCCAGAACTTTGGTTTGGGAGGTGCTGGTAGATGAGGAGGCACTTAACTGTCACAGATGTTGCTGTGGAAGGTGTGAAGAAAGGTGCATGGCTGTGCAGATAATGGATACAGTATAAATGAGGTCTCCACTTTTTTTTTTTTTTTAAATGGGTTTAAAAGTGCCTAAAATCTGTCAAGAGAATCTAATGAGCCCAAACAGAGACTCGACTGCTCTTCTTGCAGTTACCTGAGCAGTATTGGGCAGGGGTGATTGATACTTCCTGCTACACGTCCACTTGCATCTCCTCTCTCCTGCTGCATGTACTGGAGACAATTCAAGGGGCAAGAGGAGGAAGGAAAGAGGGGGACTGAATTTACATGTCATTGCATTTGGTGATGCTTTGGAGAACTGATTGACCCAAGCTACAACATGGGACAGGATTTTCCTGGATTTAAGCATTTGAGAAGGGAAAGATGTGGTGAGAAGGAATGTCTACTGCCTGTTTCCCATTGATAATGAGAGACATGATCCCAATCCTGTCTGAAGCCTTACATCTGCATTTAAAATCAATTGGCTCCTAGAACCTTGTATGTGCTGAGCAGTCTCAGCCGTTCTCACGCCTTTTGCACTACCAGCGATTGTGAATAGACATTCTCTTTTCCCTTCCTCATTCTCTCCCTCAGCCCCCTTATAATGACACAGATTTGGGGGTTTACGTTGTGTTTCTGACTTAGGTGCCGCCTTCTTCTGCAAATGGTCTCAAAGTTGCTGCTGTTAATTTCCAAAGGAGAAGCAGCAGTGTCATCCCCCTATTTCTCCATCAGGTTGCAAATTGCCGATTCTGTCCTTCATCCTGGTTCCAAGTTCCCAATATCAAAGCACCCACTGAGATGCCCTCCACCAAGACAGGTGGAGAACAGAGTCAGAAGGTTCTAGGCTTGTCCTATTTCTTTTACACCTGCCCACCGCTGCACGGGGAAGGGGAACACTGCCCTGGACAGCAGAGGCCTGCAGAAACTCTTATTAAGCATTGACAGCAATAATATTGGACATCCCAGAGGAAAGTGCTGTGATAGTAATGACATGAGACTGTGCGGTGAGGCAGAACGAGGAAGGAAGAAACAAAATCTCTTTGAAGAAACCTGCATCATACCATCTCTTGGACAGTGATATCTCTGCCCTTGTAAATCCTGTTGGACTAGCCCACCTACTGCCTTGAACTGTGCAGACAAGACCCCTTTGTAATGTCCACTACTGACCTTCTGCTCTGACCGCGTAGGACCGTTTGGAAGATGACCTTCAGAAATCAATAATATGGGTTTTAGTTCATCTGTTTGTAGTTTATTTTGAAGACTAGTATTTCAGTAATTTAAAAAAAAAATCAGAAGCACTGAACTTTCTACGTTTTATAACATTATTTTGTATATAATGTATATTTATAATCAAAACAGAAGTGTAAATATGTTTATTACTTCTCATGTAATGTTTTTAATGTGATGACAAAGTTTGAATTTTATTTTTTTTTTTTTTCAAGCAATGAAAATACTTTCCTGCTACCATGGAGTTCATTGTGGTTTGTCCTTCTACACTTCAGGTTCCATGATTTTTGTGGCAGCCAAAGTTACCTGCAGCCCCATAAATCCACCCATGGAGCTTGTCCACCCATTCCTCAAAGGCAGTCCCACATTCCATTTTGCACACCAGCTACTGTAGGCACCTTTTATATCCATCGATCAACAGAGTTGTTCAGCTGAGTAGTATGCATCTGACAGACACATTATTTATACCATGATTTGTGATATTGAAGTCATAAACGTATACGATTTAAATATATATGTTATTATATTTATATATTACCTTGCCATAGAGTGGGATTGAACTGTCAGGAAAGCTACTTCTGTTAATGTTTCCCTCCTTGACAACTTATGACATGGAAGATACAGATTTGATCCCGTTTCAGGGTATTGGCTTTAGGTTCATAGAGCAAGATTAATTATTTTTTTTTAACTCCTTTTCTGCAAATATTTTTACTAAGACCCAAGTTTCACCCTGCTCAGCATCTACATCTACGCTTGCAGAACTATACCCCTGTTTGAGTGGGGTTTGTATTTTGCTCATGGGACTGGAGGGAGTTTCAGACCTTTTCCTCCCACCGTCCCTTTGCTACACCAACAGCAATATCCTCCCCAGCTATCACAGAGTCATTATCCTCCCCAACCCTTTTGGAAGATGCTTCCACAAGAAGTGTAAAAAACCATGCTTGTATGAAACACTCCCTGCAAGCATATTAGCCTTTGAAATGCATACATTTAGAGACAATTAGATCTCCTGCTAGATAGCTAGGTGCAGCACAGCCAACATCTGAATGCACAAAAGCAAGAACTGTAAGAACAGGAAACCTCTGCTGCTCTACTTTAAAAAGTTTTCTTTTTTTCTGTTTTTGACAAAATGCCAAAAGAGCATCTTAGCATTGGATTCCTTTCTTATCTTTCCCAAAATAAAATCTAACCAAAACTCGCAGGTTTAAAAAGCAAAACAAAAAACCAACCCGCAGACGTGAACAGAAGAACCATAACAACTTATTTCTACTTTCTCATTAAAATACTGCAAATAATGGCTTATAAGGATCCTTCTGAGTGTATCGCTAAGGTTACATAAATGCTATTTACTTTGGATGGTTTTTGTTTCTCCCTCCTAGTTCTTTTCTTAGCAAAATTAACTTTCAAATCCCAATCAATTTCCCTGGCTACCATAAAAATAAACTTAAGATGAAACTCAGAAATAAAAAGCCACCTCCCCCTCCCCAAACATTCACCCTGTAGAGCAAATTATGAAAAACAAGCCATTGACAAAAAGCCGAGCAGATGCTCCCTGCTTGCAGTCCTTCCTCGGCAATGTGAAATAAACCCAACAGATGCCTCTCTTAATTGAGCACATGGATTACATACACACATGCACTCTGTCCTGCTTAAAACAAAACACACACAAAAATCAAACGGGAAAATAGCCAGAGAACTCTTCCCAAAACCCAGGCAAGCAGGAATGCTAAGACCAAAAAAGACTCTGCTCTTCCTGCTAGAAATAAGACAGGAAACCGTATCTATAGGCAGAAGGGAGTTGAAATCCATTAAAACCCGTGGACTGATTATGTAGATCCCACAGGGTAAAGCAGGTACAACACATGCTTTTGTGTATCCACACAGGAGAGAAGAAAAAAAAAAAAAAAAGCTTGAGTTTACAAGGAAATCTGTGAATATTTACTGGAGGCAGTACCGCACCACACAGCTACCAGAATAGATCACAGATCCTACACAGGAAAAACAGGAGCTGTGCCTGCTTCCACACAGGAGGAGATGGAAAGCATATGTGAATCTATGCACGTGTGCACATCCCCAGCTCCTTGCCAAAGAAATTACAAGCAAACTAGCTGAATACATATCATGACCTGGATTTAACCCACAACTCTGGCCAGAAGTTCTCTCACCAGGGCGCTGCGCGCTGCCTGCCCTCCAGGTGAGAACATACACGTACTCTGGGAGGAGCTCTGGGTCCTCCTGGGCTGCCAGGGCTCACCGGGACTTTAGAGACTCCCCGAGGGCTACAGATAATTGCAGGTCTGTAAATGCGCTGACAAACAGTGCCTTGTAGACTTCCCAGAGCCAACTATGGGCTCTCACTAACTCCTCTTAGGACAATTTGCCCTAACCATGGTTTGATTATGGGTTTGGCTTGAGGACTGCACTTAATTTGGTTTCCCGATTTAAAAGACCACCCAAACTCACTTAACAACAATGTGGATAAGCAGCAATCGTAAGATCAGAATCCTGAAACGCTCAGAAAACTTCAGTGTTTGCTCCTATTATAACTTAACAGAAACTATTTCTCAGCTATAGACAGAGCCCAGTTTCAGGGCCAGGCATTGTTGTTGCACTTTCAGCTCCAGCCCTGCAACATCTATCTCTCTGAGCTGTTTTCTTATAGGGGGAAACAGCTGCTGGGATAAACCCGTAACTATAGCACCCACTGGTGCTGAGACAACACGCAGCAGCACAGCACTGAAAAGGCAGCAAAGGGGAGAGAGTTTAATTAGCTCAAAAGAGGGATGCTTGCAGAAATTACGCTTGATACAGAACCTGCCTAAAGTGGGACACAATGCAAAGCACATTTTATCTTGCACAGTACTTGTCCAGCGGCAGCACTCAGCCTTGGCAGAGCTGCAGGGAGAGGCTGAATTTGCCACAGTGCAATTGCAAACATCCAATCCAGCAGATAATGCAATCTCTGTAAAAACACATTTCAAATACTTGCACTGTGTCTCAGACTTTTCATTCACTCATGCACAGCAAGCTGTGAAAAACCTGTATTACAGTGGCTTAAGCGAAATAATCTGTTTACCTGTCATTCCCTTATCTTGCATACCTGATTCATGAATACATACTGATTTTACAAATCAGATAAGGCACTCCCAGCACATTTTGCTCACAATCCAAATTCCAGTTGTGGAGAATTGTCATAATTCAGTGGCCCTTTGCCACACTTCTCTATTTTCACAACTTGATTTTATGGCCTCTCTAGAGACTCAGCACCAAGCCTTCCCACCCTGCTCTCTCTGCTAAAGTTTTGCCAGATCAGCTCCCGAAGCCCACAGGCAACAACCTGCCGCTCTGC